CAAAGCCCGAAAGCGTCCACTTTGGTCAAGATGCATCCGAAACCACAATCCGACATCGGGAGGGTCGGCAAAGCTTTGCAACCCAAAGGCGGCCCAGAAGGCTTTCATGACGAGTCCATCGTCGTCGGCTGTACTTGCAGGCCCGGTTTTGGATGCTAGCTGGGCTCGTCTACTGGAAGAGCCGAATGAGTCTCGATCCGATCAAGTAAGGAAAGAAAGGCGCCCTGCGACCGAACTCGACCGAACTTGATAAAGCAACACCAGGAGCTCTGCAGCACCACGAAAGCCATCTCGAAGAAAATGAACAGTTATACTTGGTGCAGACGAAACACCTTATTGTAGTTCTTGCAATAAATATAATGCCCCAGAAGGAAACATCCTACCCCCGTCCTCAGATCTATCGATAGACTATGGAAAACGACACTCGATTCTGTTTGAGAAGAGAACGAAATGCACGAGCATCGCTGGTACACGTGTATTTGAAAATTGTCGTTTTATTTGGAAGAATGACTCGAACCATGGACTGCGCTTGCTAGCTGGGCGTCATAAAGACTTCTCAAGCTTCCAAACTCTTATCGATTTCTCTCCAACCTGAACATTTTTGTTGCAGCAAGGAGGAGATGATGAGCACATGAATGACGACCCGACTGGCATTTCCCTTCTTTCATTGTTTCCACGTACCTATTGGAAACTCTCGCGCCCAGTAGGGCGGATGCGGCGGCCGATACTCCTTGACGGCAAATTTGGCATTCATGGGAACATAGTAGTAACTGTCAATTTCTCCCCGTTGATATCCTGTCAATTTGTCTGTTTGGGATCGATATCCTCTCATTCTATTAATGTATCCTGTGAATGTAGAGTAGTACGTCCCGGCAAAGACATGTCCTTTGGACGCAATGAGTTGGTCCAGCATTCCGTAAAAATTGGTATTGAGTCCTTCCGCCAAGGGTGGATTACTGTCGAGGAAATAGACGCGATAGTTCTTGTGAAAAATCTTGAAAAAGCTTCGGTCCTTTTCGTCCGTGGCTATGGATGTATCATGGATGGATTAATAATTGTCGTTTTGATGGAGTTTGAATGGAGTGGAACATTGTTGGGAGCAGCCAAGTTGGATGCATCAGCGATACCATTTAGTTAGTAAAACAAATACACACACACACACACACACATACGCAATCACATGAATCATACGCACCAATATAGAGTGTCGCATTGACGGGAATGACATCGCGAATACTTTCAAAAATCACATCGGCTTCTATCCGTGTATCCTTGTATTGAAAATCCCCTCGTCGAATGTGCATGGTATAAAAGTTTCCATTGGGCTCCCCGAATTGCCGCGCTTTCATATGCAAAAAGTCAATCCATCGTGCGGCGGCACATTGAATTTGATCGACGTATCGCAAATGATCCCGGACAAATCGTTTGGTCCATTGATCGTGTTTCCAGTCTTCAAAGAATAGAAACGAGTAGAAATGGGCCAACATGCGTGCCCCGGAATCATTGTCGCCCATGGCATGCACGACGGGTGCCTGTTGAAAGGATTCGTCGTAAATGCACAAATTCTGGCGTGTGGCGAGCATTTCACGTATCCGTGCTTCTGGAGGTGCATCGACGGGAGTGGGATTGTTGTTGTAGGAATTGATGCGTTTTTGAGCACCGATTTTTTCCATGATTTGTTTGGCGTCCGCAAATGCCGCTTTCAAACTGGCGACTCCCGTTGGGCCGGGTTCTTTGGGAAAAGATGCCAGACACTTGTCCATATTCCAGTCCAACACTTTGGTAACGGTTCGTAACCACGGAAAGACCCCTCGTTTTCCCATTTCATAATTATGGAATTTTCCATCCCAATTGGTCTGATTGCGGGGTGGGAAACTGGGTTTGCCTTTGGCGTCCAATAAATGGCCGGTCATGGCTTCTCGTTGCAAGAATTCGGTAAAGGAAATGACGGTCAAATGGGGATGTTCGGTTTCGACGGAATCAAAATGAAAAAAGTCTTTGAATGTGAATCGGTTCTTTTGTCCCTTGTCTTTTTGATGCAGCAAGTACATGCCCTGTTCCGGTGGCAACACGAGTGTTCGGCCCATGGCCAATGCCATCGTCACGGCCGTCTCCATGGCCATGCGAATGTTGTTCCAGCCGCCTTAAAACATAATAATATAAAGAAAATGAGAAAATGTTCCATAATGTATGATTTTTGTCCAATTTTGTCCATTTTTGATCTCACCTTCATCGGGTTCAAAGGTCAGATATTTGGTCTTTGGTCCGACATTTTTAAAGGGACTTTGGAAATGAGCATCTTGCGGAATGTCCTTCCAATACACCATTTCGGCCGCCACATCATTGGGAGGTCCTCCCCAAGGATCGCAATTCAACCCTGCCACTTCATGGCCTGGTTTCTTCATGACAGGAGTCGTCTCTACAGATTTTTCCACTTTGGTTGTTGTGGTTGTTTTTTGCTGATTACTATTTTCAATAATATTCCCCGTATTCCTCTTTTGCGCGGCCACGAGTAACTGAGATTGTTCAATGGTAGCGCGTTGACTGCTGCTCACGGCAAACAAGTAGACCGCCATCAAACAGCAAATGGCCGTCAGGAAGGTCGGAAAGTTACATGGTCCACCACCCGAGCGCTTCTCGCCGCGTTTCGCTGATATATTCTTGGGACTGGCTCGGACTGGAGCCCTCGGCATGGTTGTTATAGTTATTGTATAGTTATTATTGTCAGACAGACAGAAAGATAGATAGATAGATAGATAGTTGGTTTGCCGTTGTGTTCGTCGTCGACGAGGAAAGATGATCGATTGTGTGGATTTGCTTTGTTCTTCGCCAGGTGCTCATTGGATCTTTCATTTATTAATAGCACAGTAGGGTTGGGGGTTTACAAAAAATGACTCTTGTACTTAACGTTGGTCATAAATTCATTACCGGTGACTTCAACCCCACAATTATACACGGCTTGCCTGCGCGCAGGAATTGGCGATTGCAGTCACAGATGTCTTTCTCGACGTCCGGCTCTCAATACAGTAGCACGAAGACGCGCATCAAGCGCTGTTTCCAATTGACTTCTGGCTATTACCGGTAGAGAGGCTACAACACCAAAAGGTTGTGAACTCTGATACCAGGAATTGAACCCAGATCTTCTGAGAGACAGTCAGACATGCTACCATTACACCATATCAGATTGGGACACTGATCGACTCGACTCAATCAATGGACGTTGTCTCCCTCATGAGGAATGGCTGCTTTCTATTTTTTCAAGGGCAGAGAATTCAAGTGCATGCATGGTATAGTGGTGATGTTCTCCGAATGTTGTGAGGGCCGACATCATAAAGGTGCCTTGAATTGAATCTTGGGCGGCGCACGGATAAAGCCACATAATCCCTTTGGTCAGTCCCCATTGGTCCTCCATTTGTCGCAACTGTTCCCACGGAACCTAGTCCCAAATTCCGCCTCTTCTTTGCCTACCCGGGTAACCCTGCCCCTCGCCGGCTTCCTTAATTTAATATCTTCCCTATTCAAAAACCACATTTCTCTTTACATCATGCCTGCATGCCTACTTACTACAGTAGTCTAGCTATATATAACTTGATAAAGACCGGCAGAGATGTATGAGATATTCAGTACTACCGGGCGAGCTGCTTCTTTATTGTGAGACCCACCACTACTACAGTACGAACGACAGGTTCAGATATCACCAGGGTCTGCCCGGTATACAAATAAATAATGAGATATTCAACAGAAAAAGACGCTGTCACCACAAAAAGCTTGGTTTCTTCATCTGACGAGTTGGACCTCCAACTTCCGAATGGTCTACTACTAACTAAGTATCCATCCATCCATCCATCATGAGATCCCACGCTTGCCATCATAAAGATTCGATTCCATGACTTGGCGCGCGGATAGTACAGCAACATCATATTTTGGAACTAGTCTATTTCTTAAAATTGTTCATGAGATTTTCTACAGAAATAGACGCCGTCACAACAAATAAGTAGACAAGTTTAGACTTTCGCGAAAGTCGTACCGTATGGCCCAGAATCATGGAACGATTGCGTCGAGTAGCTCTCTCGCTCGAGGAGGATCCAACAAACCGTCCTGCAAGTGAAAGGGCATTTCGAAAGGCCCCCAGGTGTGCGGTAGTGAACTGTAGACGAACGTTTTCACGCTTGGCATTGGCCAACTCGAGGAAACCATCACCAGCGGAAACGAAATAGGAGTTGGTGACGACGCTGTATTCGCGTTCCAACTCGATTGGTTTCCAGACGTCGTCGTCGTCATCGTCTTGCACGTTGACCTCAACATTGGTGCATCGGTGAGAGAAACTGTTGCGGTAGTCAATGGAATAGTGGAGCCCAACTGCGTACGGATAAGCTCCCGTTTTGTTGGCTTCCACAACGTATTTCAGTGCTTAACAAGCACTGTAACCACGATGGAAGCCCCAGTCAGGTCGACAACCAAAAGCTTGTTCTCAAATGGGAGGAGATTGCTCAAGTCATCTTCTGTGAATGTTCCATTCCAAACATCCGTGTGAGCCTCGCTACCGGTTTATGATGTTCGTGACGTCCGTGACGCTGCCTTCCACAACGATACTCAAATTTTTCACGAACACCTGAAGAGATGGTAAGTGGCCGGTCGTCTGCCGCGTGGGATGCTGTGTTTGGTGACCGAGAACCGACTTCCTGCGGCTGTCGCACAGATATGACCCAGTCGGACCCAGTCGAAGACCAAGGTATCCTTCTATTGTTGCACTATTGCCAGCTAGCAGGTTGCTAATGAAACTAGGAAGCCACAAGCCATCAATTTTAAAAAATGGAACAATAACACTAAAAGGAAAGATTCCTTTCCCAAGATACTAAACTTCAAATTCAGGTTTGGTTGATTCCTCCTTGCTGTCAAGGTTTCTCAAGAAAGTTCGCCATGGACCATTTTCCTTTCTAGATACTACTGAGCCAGCAGAGGCATAGCACCCTGGATGCAGAATGCCAGAGACATGGGTGTCTTGCAAGGTCAGCCCATTTCCATCAACGTAGTGTCCACTCAAATGGGAACTGTCCACAAGCACACCTCCTTTGAAGTGTAGTTTACCATACTCATATAGTTCGTCACCAAAGTACCAGAGGTCCCCACTGACTTCAGCACCCATTAACTTTGCATAGTGGCCAAACATTGGAGTTCCGTACAGGACTTTCTCCAACAAATTGCCAACACGAAAGACCCATACAGCATTGATGTATAGTCCAAAAAAACTGATGTGGGTGTGCTTTGGCAACTTGTATAGTATGCCCTCAACAGCTCTTGTCAAGAGTATCCAAACAAACCACTGTAGTACAAAAGCTGTGACCAACCCAAGCGCAGCAATGCCAGATGATGAACTGGTTGTAGCCGCAAGGCCAATCTCGTAGGAAGGTATGATGGAGGCAAAAAGAGTCACATTCAACAAAGCCTGCAGCAGCTCGTGTAGTGTGGTACTGCTACTAGGCTTGGACACATCATGGCTTGATTGTTGGTTCAGCTCATAAACACTTTCAGACACATCTGACCTTGGAGGAATTGTAGATTGCATAATCTTGACACCGGAATGAAGATTGGCATTGTAACCAATGCTGCTGTTGATGATCTCAATCTTGCCACCTCCTTGCTTGTTCAAGTCTAGCGAGATGGCTGAGGCAAAAGACTTCCGGATCTTCACAAAATCAACCTTTGAGGGTTGGAAATGTACATAGAGACCATTTATGCGTGACTCAAAGTCAATGTCAAGGCCATGTAGGAAGAAGATAATGTTCCAGACTTTTGATGCGCCACAGAAAGGAGCAAGAGTAAATCCAGCTGCATGGAAATGGAAGTCACATGCCCAGTTGGTTGCACGGCGGTAGAGTGAGCCCTCATACTCATCTGATGGGTTCCGTTTTCCAATCAGAAGCCACTTGAAGGCCAAGCTGGAGCAAAGTGCCAGGATGGAAGTGAATGGCAACAACAGGATCCAATAAAGAATACCTCCATACCGCCATGAAGGCAAGATTTGATTCAGCACAATGCTAACAACAAAGGCAAGTGTAAAAAGATGGTATGCCTCAAACATGATCCAAACCATCTTGAAGACATCCAAAATGGACTCCTCCAACAAACTTGATTCGCGACGAATAAATGATCCAGCATGGCATGCCGGGTTGCCTTTGGCAAGGACGCCATCAGGTACCACAGCACCCTCTTCAACAACTGAAAGCTTTGCTACTTTGCTTCCATCCCCAATTGTGGCCCGTGGACTCACCATACCAGAGATTTGACAGTTATTTCCCACAACAATTGGCCAGAATGTGATCATTGGACTGTCTTCTGTTGACCAAGAGAATTTTCTGCACTTCAGAGGGTGACCGATACTTGTGTTGCTCCCCACCTTCACAAGGTCAAATTCACGGATATAGGACTCAATCTTGGCAGACCACGCCAGGTCAGCACCAAGAATCCAGTAGAAGATCCAAATGTACTTGGTTCCTAGAACAAGATGTCCTGCAAGGTATTCCCAAACATCCAGAATCCTGTCAACAAACCACCATTGGATGTAATCCCAGGATAAAAGCTCAAATTGTCTTGGAAGGTACTTCCCAACAACAACAACCTTGCATAAAACCACAATCAATGAGAAGGATAGGATGAAGAGAGGAAAGGTCAGGGGCATAAGAGCCCAAAATACTGGGCGGCGGCAATCTCCATCTTCAGGCGAGTCACATTGGTCCAGAACCCAGGATACTAGGAAGTAGGACGGAACAGCTGAGATCAAGAGTAAGAGAAGAATCAGAGCTGACCCAAGGGATTGGATAACTCCAAGCTGTAACTTCCTCAGCCTGGATCTGGATGAATTCCATTGAAAGCCTGGGTGATCATCGATGGTTTGCGTGGGAAACCTCTTCCCCTCAGATGTGACCAGAAACTCGTACAGGTCTTTTGGTGTTGCACAAAGTTGCTCAAAGTTCACTGGTAACACAATATGCAATTCCTCCTCCACTCGGTTCCTCAGCTCAGCACTCATGAGTGATGTGAGTCCATTTTCAGCCCATGATTTTGATGTTTCAACTGCATGACCAAAGACAGATGTGATGGTGTTCGCATATCTGGTGGAGAAGTCATCTGGGTCCACAGGCTGTTGAGTTCCTTTGGACAAATAGAACTCACTGCTTGCAACCCCGTTCATTGCAAATAAGCTGTGCTCAAGGAAAGAGCTCTTCTTGGGGGGTGATACGTTTGCCTGTCGTTGGAATCGTAGGAGCACATCAGATGCCTTCCAATCACCTGCAATTGTAGTCTGTCTGATCTCACTTCTCTTTAGCTTGCCAGATGTGGTCTTGGGTGTCACACCAAGCTTGAGGACAACTACCTCTGAGGCAAGCAGCCCATGTGCTTGGGAGACATGGTTTGCTATCTGAATAGCCAAATCTTCATTTGCAGCCTTGTCAAAACCTTTGCGTCCTTCGACAGTGATTCCAACACTGTCCTCCCCATGCTGGAAGGCAGTGGTCCTGCCTGGACGGATAACGTCGCCAAAGATATCATCAATAGAGAGCTCCACATCAGTTGGATAGTAGTTCTTTCCATTGATAATGATGACATCTTTGACCCTTCCAGTGACGTATAGCTGTCCATCCACAACCTTTCCCAAATCTCCAGTGTCAAGCCAGCTTCCATCATAGCCTGGCAAGATATTTGCAAAGGTGGATGTAGTAAGTTCAGGTTGTCCATAGTAACCAGCAGCCACCCGGGGAGACTGGGCCCAGATACTCCCAACATGTCCCTCCTCCACCGCTTTTCCATCCTTGACAATTCGAAGCTTGAGAGTTGGGGAGTCAACTCCACCACAGCAGACAAGCCCTTCGGAGTCAGGGTATGCAGAGCCACCTGTGAGAAACACCACAGACTCTGCAAGTCCATAGATGTTGTATACATGCTCAGGCTTGATTGAGAGGGTCTTTGCTGCTGCTCCCACAACATGGCTCTGGGCTGGTTCACCCCCAAACATGGCACGCCTTACACAACTCCAGTTTGCAGTTCGATTGGCCTGCTCCAAACGTTTGAGGAGCAAGGCATAAGCAAAGTTAGGGGCACAGGTAAGGTTTGCCTGATATTTCTCCACCATGTCAGTCCAAAGCAGTGGATTGACCACAAAATCCAGGGGTGATGCCATGACAAGATGGATACCAGCATAGAGGGAAGACATAAAACCAGCAACAAGGCCCATGTCTGAAGGGAGAAAATGGACCAAAGGAGTCAGAGATAATAACATAGATTCCAGGGCAACCAAACTGAATGGATTACCATGATATTGTGGAACCCACAAAGCTGCGACTGTGGAGCTCAAAACTTCTGTACCTGACATGGCACTGATACCTAGAATGTTTTCTGCTAGATTGCTGTGGCTAATCATGACACCCTTAGGTCGACCAGTACTGCCAGAGGTGTACTGGATGAAACAGATATCTTGGGGTTCTCCTACAAATTGCTCATAGTCTTTGGGCTTGTTTGGGTTGCGTTTCTTGATGGGTAGCTTGTCAGTCCCAATCCATTTTACACCAGTCTTGTAGAGGATGCTGGCTGCAGTCATGGCAGTGGCAAAGGTTGCACTGGTTAGTGCATACTTGGCTCCGGCATCCTCCGCAAATCCACGGAATTTGGGCATTTCTGTTTTTAGCTGATTGGGGTTTGGTGGGTAGATAGAGCAAGGGATGACTCCAATCTTCATGGCTCCAAACATTCCAGCCAAGAACTCAAGGCCAAATGGATATGCCACCATGACACGTTCCCCCTTTTTGCATCCCAGCTTGAGGAGATGATCCGCCACAGCATTGGATTCATCCTCCAATTGCTTGCAAGTCATCTTGCACTGTTCCTTACACTTGTCGTCAACCCAGGTAAAGACAACCTTAGCAGGAGTCACTGTGGCATGATGGTTGAGTGCTTCTAGGATGGTTGAGAAGTGCTTCATCTCTTCTTTCCTATCTTTGTTGTGATGGTGTTGTCTTTTTGAGGTTGTTGTGAGAATCGTGTCCTCTCTTCGCAGCGTGGACGGGGCTAAGTGCGGTTTTTACCGGAAATGGACCGAAGCTGCTTGGGAAGCTTTTAAAAAAAGTCAAAGTGAACCTTCCGAGCCATTATTTAAGCCAGCGGAGCTGTGTAACCTCGGCAGAAAGGTTTCAGTGTAGAAGCAGGTCAGATACCCCAGGGTACGGAAGCTATGTCCACAGAAGGTAAACGGCTTGGTACAGAAAGTACAGCGGGACCGCCGTGCCGACATCAGCTCAATCGGTACACTATGGTACACTACCGCTGTAGAGCCGCTGTAGCGGATTAGCCAATCAAACGTTCGATAGCCGAATGACGTCACAGCCGACTGACGTCAGTCGTGCATTTCGCATCTATTTATTTATTTATTTATCTCTGTGTCAGCTCGATCAGTCTCTCGTCGTGTTATTAGCATGTGTTTTCAAAAGACCGACGGAGCATGCATCCAGAGGATTTCGAATTCCGAATTTGAGCCAGATAGTGAAGCAAGACAATACAACCGAGGTCATCCCATCCGTATTCAGTAGCTGCAGAGGTACTAGTACTTACAGCACGCCAAGGATATAGCCGCTTTCATCGCAATCCGAGGAAGCTGTAAAGCCGCAGAGGTATTCAACGCCATCCTACCGCAGAGGTATCCATCGCAAGCCAAGGATAGCCGCAGAGGTATTCAACGCAATCCAAGGACGACGATGAGTGCGAGTAAGAAAGAGGCTCTGGCTGGTATTGACCACTACATCCGGAACTTTTACTCCAGTGGACTCTTCCCCAAGGTAGACGACAATGGCATCGTGTTCTTGTCAGCTGTCGGCAAGAAAGGGCGTGCCTCTACGAAAACCAGGACTCCTCCAGTGGTTGGATTCTTCAAAAAACTGAGTACAAAGCAGGAAGAAGTCTTCCATAACTCAGTCAGGCATGCAATCGAACACTATGGTAGCGCCACCAACACGGACAACGTTGCTGAGCTCGCTGCCGAATCATTCGATCGAATGCACTTCAACATGATGGGGCAGGGCAACGCTGGTCTCAGGGGTAGGCTGAGGCCCCAGCATGCCAAAGCTTTGCTCAGACAGGGGGTATGCTGGTTCAGATGGCCGCCATCAATCAACATGCCACTGGAAAGAGAAAGGATGCTCCGAAGCAAGGCGGTCTGACCAAAGCCAAGCTGTTGGACTCCTCCACAAGCTTCGCAGACATGAAGAATTGGGCCAGGGTCCTGGGAAAGTCATCAAAAAGACAAAGCCAAGATGAAAGAGGTTCTGCTCAGTGTTTGAGGGTCATGTGTTCCACTCCCATTAGCTAGCTTGGTGGTTGGGCCCCAAGGGCCCAATCTTTAAACTCTAAGCCCCTACGGGGGCCCATCCTTTCAACTCTAGCTTAAAAATTTTCAGGGTAAGCTAGCTAGCTAGAGAGCAGATACCTGTAGTGCTTAGCTAGTGCTTAACTTGCGCTTAAATAACTAGAAGAAGATCCCCTAGCCAGAAGCAGATTCCATAGCAAGCTAGAGCAGATACCCCAAGCTAGCTATAAATACTAGTTATATAGCTTTTGCTAGCTTTAGAGTTTGTTCCTGGTAGAAGCAGACCCCCCTACTAGGATGCATGTAAATAGCTTTAGCTGGTTTAAAAGCACCATCCTAGGATACTTATTTAGTTTTTGCTGACTTATTTGTATTCTAACCCTACCCTTATACCTGCAGGGACCACCGTAGCAGGAAAAACAATTAAAGGGGTTGAGGGCTCTGGCAGCAAGACTGCCGAGGTATTTGGTGATTCCGAGTAACCTTGACACTGCATGCAATTTTTTCCGGACTCGACGCCCTAACTCCGAGTGGCCTGACTAAATTTTTGGAACAATGTAGAGAATTAAGGGGTTTCCGGGTGGTTCTTACTGGGGACTCCTCCTGGGTACTAGTACGACTGTCCTTTCCGCTTGTACTCTAGTACAAAATTGAGTTGCGACGGACGACTCGACTGTCACTCTTACAGCTTGTACATGTATGTAGACTACTCCAGTATGGTACGCTGGCAGTGTTACTCTTCATGACTACTAGCTAGTACCAGTACTCAGTACATGTATCGCCAGCAGTCCACAAGTGAATCATGAGTACTAGTACTAGTAGATCTACTCGACTGGATCAATATATTTTTTTATATTTCGATCTTGGTCACGGGCCTCACGGCTTCACAGGACCTAGTGATGAAAGAGACAGGGCTTTTATTAAACGCCAAAGCACCACTCAGTACGTGCCAGGCTTATATCGCCCTAATAACCATCCAACGCCCAAGATGTCTATAGCAAGATAGCACCGCTCTACCGAACCATTCAAAAAGCCTCCGCTCCTTGCTACGGAGCTTGTGCTGGAGGTTGGAGGAGGGAGGAGGAGGTTGCCGATCCCATACATCCAGCTGTCATGCTATTGCTGCTTCACGCATCTTATTATTACTTGGTTCTGCATTATTGTATGCCTGTTCTTAAGCTTTTGGACTTGACCAAAACTGCTGTGCATTTTTTTACTATAAAAAAAGACAGTGGTTGACAGTGCCGCTGTTTACCACTGTCTTGGTCATGGGCTACAGTACCTTTTAAATTAATAATTGTTGGCATGTTGGGTTGTTCTCAAGAGAGCGGCCATTCGTTCTGGAACACCCACGATAAAAGTCTTAAATGACTGTATTGAAGCCTTCTAAGTCATATGGCCGAACTCTAGTCGTGATTGTCGGAATTCTGAAACCACGATGTCGGAAAATGTCGGCGTTTGTACGAGAATGTCGGCGTTTGTACGAGAATGTCTGCATTTGTCGGACAATGTCTGCAAAATGTCGGAAGGTTTCCGGACATTTCAGCGAGAATTTTCCGACATTTAAAACGGATGACTTTCGCTGGTTAAGTCGTGTTCTTCACTGGTTGGTACTTTCTCTTTGATAGAACCCTAGCATTCGGAACCCTGTAAACTCATTCAACGGTCCTCTAATCGTAAATGTCGGATTTAACTCGCCGAAATGTCGGCAAAATGTCGGCAGAATGTCGGCAATGTCTGAGAATGTCGGCGTTTGTACGAGAATGTTGGAGTTTGTATGAGAATGTCTGCATTTGTCGGAAAATGTCGGGACATTGTCGGAAAACTTTCTTCTGTCATTTAGGCCATATGATTTAAGAGCAGTGCCGGTCATATATCTTTAAAAGACTTTATCGAGAGTGTTCCTGAGGATCGAGCTCGTTCTCTCAGACGGAACGCCAAGCAAGCTGGAACTAAAAGTACAATGTATCCACGTCTCAAAGATCCGTCTGTCCGTCGTTTGACAACCAACAACAACAGCCACAGCAATCGGCCAAGGCAAACACGGTAATACTTTATGATACTGTAGCTAGATAGCAATTGACCATGTCCTCTTCGTCTTCTTCTACTAATACTTCTTCCAATGGTTGCCAGTTGGTACACCATGGTGCTGCAGTGACTTCCTCGACCAAAGTGTTGACTTGGCTTCCTTCTTCTGGCAATGATACGCCAACCATTGCGTTCGCGTCGCATGCCATGATCAATGTGGCGCGTCCCGTGGCGGTCAGGTTTCCTCGCGACAAACAACAAGAACAACAAGAAGAAGAGAAACAAGAACAACAAGAGAAACAAGATGACGAATGGATTTGGAATGTCCAAGAGACGTTGCGAACAACCCTCTGTTACAGTGTAAGTCCTACCGCAAAGGTACCTACCATTACGGCCTTGTCGTACGTCAAGCCAGTGGCTACAGATACTACTACTACAGATAGTAATAGTAGTACACTGGCGGCGGGCTTTTCCAATGGCAGTTTGTCCGTGTGGACAAAGCAAGACGAGACGAATCAGGAATGGAACGAAACCGTGTGGATGGATGCCATTGCCACGGCAAAGGATAGTACGACGTCAGAAGCGCCTCGTTCCATTACCGATATTCAGGGCATTCGTCTGCCCCACAATCATACTATTTGGTTGGCCGCCTGTTCGTCGGCAGGAGTCACGCATCACTCCTATCAAAATGACAACAAGACCCATCGGTCGTCCCTAGTGACACACCATACCGCCAGTACCGTGCAATGGGAATCTCTATCCGACTCGACACTTTTGCTACTGATTGGAACGGCGGCACCCCGACACAACAAAATCATGATTTATTCCATTCCTATACCAGCAAGCACAACCACAGACAATCATCCATTTCACTACTGCGGAGCTCTCACTGGACACGAAGATTGGATTGGGTGCTTGGCGTGGCAACAAACACTATCGTCGTCACCCGAGAATGGCTCGTACATGCTGGCATCTGGGAGTCAGGATTGGAAGATTCGGCTGTGGAAATTCACCACCACGGCCGTCAAGGCAGAAATCATAACAACAACCACGACAAACGAGGAGGATCAAGACGAAAACCTTGAGGATGACGACGAAGTCGATGTCGAGGATGAAGAAGACTTTGAAGAACACGAATCCCGAATGGATATTCTCTGGCACGACGAACAACAACCATATCAAACCAGTGTGTCGTTGGAAGCCTTGCTCTTGGGACACGAAGGACCCGTCACGGCGGTCGAGTGGTATCCATCACAATCATCAGAACAACTATCATCACAACAATCATCATCGTCAATATTACTCTCGAGCAGTATGGATCGCAGCATTTATCTGTGGTCGCCGTCGCAAGATGATGGCATTTGGACCCCCGTCACACGCGTCGGCAGTGCCGGAGGCATTCTGGGAGGATCCGTCGGGTCCACGCTCTTGGGATATCTCAATGTTCTTATTCAACCGCCCTGGTTGATGGGACATGCGTACGGGGGTGCCTTGCACATTTGGCATTCCAGCAACAATAATCCACATTTCTGGAACGCCACACCGTGTCTGACGGGACATTTTGATGGAATTACCGATTTGTGTTGGGAATCGACTTTTGGAGAGTACCTCCTCACAGTCAGTTTGGATCAGACATGTCGTCTCTGGGCGCCACTACAAACCAACTCAACCAACAACAATAAAAAGTCGGCATGGGTCGAAGTGGCCCGGCCGCAAGTCCACGGATACAACTTGTCCGCCATTACATCACTGTCGTCACCCGACCATCGACACTGGATCGTCAGTGGAGCCGACGAAAAGGAATTGCGAATCTTGGATGCACCCATGACCACCGTGCGGATCCTGCAAGCCATTTCAGGAACGAATGACAGCAGCAGCAACAAGGAAAACATCGACAGGGTCGAACGGGCGTACATTCCTTCACTGGGACTGAGTAATAAAGCCACAGCGGCCGATGGTGCCGAAGAAGATGTACACGGGATAGATGACGACAACAACAACAATGCGAGTCGAACTGTCAATCTTCCTTTGGAGAGAGATTTGGGGGCATTGTCGCTGTGGTTGGAAACACGCAAACTGTTTGGCCACAATACGGAACTCTATTGTGTCACGTCCACACTCGAGGCCAAGACAGCCGCAATGCTGGGCAAACAAGACGACGATGTGCTCCTACTAGTGGCATCCACCACCAAGGCACGTGATGTGGATGCCGCCGCCATTCGTATCTGGAATCCACAAAATGGCGAATGCGTACAGGTTTTGTCGGGAGGGCACAAGTCAACCGTCGCCACCATGAGCTTTTCACCCGATGGAGGCAAATACTTGGCGTCGGCGGGAAAGGACCGTCGACTATGCGTCTGGAAACGCTCTTCGGACGGCAATCAGTACCACCTGGCAGCGGCCAAGGACACGGCGCACAAACGCATCATTTGGTCGGTGCACTTTTGTCCCTATGATTCCACCATCTTGGCGTCGGGTTCGCGGGATGGAAATATCAAGATATGGAAGTTGTCGGACAAGGACGATGAACTGACAATGGAGCCTCTCTTTAGCTTTGCTCCTGCTACACAGAATCATGCTCAAAAGCCCGATTCGGTGACGGCACTGGCATTGGCGCCTAGACCACTGCCGCAAAACAACCATGCACTGCTGGCGATCGGGTTGGAGTCTGGTTTAATGGAACTGTGGTCCATTCCCATTGACTCGTCGGCTACCGAGGATGCAGCCCCCCAACTGATCCAGTGCTTGCCGGGGAGCATGTGTCATGTGGCAACCGTTACAAAGTTGACGTGGCGACCTCTACGCAACGAAAACAGTGATGTTTTGACTCTTGCCAGCGGCTCGACGGATCATGGTTGCCGTGTCTTTGAGATCGAAACTAGCAGCCTCTTGTAATGCATTTAAACCGAAAGGGAAAAGTAACCACGTCAAGAGCGATATGAATTCAAGAGCGATATGAATTGAACATGTCTTTGGTACATTTCTGTGGACTATTACGTAATGATGGCTATCTCAAGCATTCCCATTCACAATCTACTACACAGCGTACCATCTGTTTATGTTTACGGTAGAGTAAGCAAGCTTTGTTTCAGTGGCTGCATCATTCTCTATCCGAAACAGCTCACGGGATGCAATCCGTACCTTGGAATCCAGGCCGGAAGAAGCCACAAAGACACACGTCTACCAAGCAACAATTGTTTGGCACAAGCGTATTTCTGCAGTCTGTGGTGCTTGTGCACTGGACCCGACCTGCCCAAGTCGGGTCAGTCCAAAACGGGCTTCCTTGGCTGCAGGAGGCTGAGTAAGGTGTTGCTGCCGCGAACGTGGGCAATGGTGTCGGTGCCGGGGTTATTGGCACCGGAATGGGAGTAGGGGGCGGTGTAGGACTGGGGCTGGGCGCTTCGGACGGAACAGTTGAAGGCCGATCCGAAGGAGCAGGGCTTACCTACAAAGAGTCATTGGAAGGGGAAATGAGAGATTTGTTGGAACGGTGGAGAGTGTTGGGAGTGCAAGGTAGTCGATGAGATAATCGGTGCCAACGACCCATCATCCCAAGAGGGGTTGTCCATAAGAAGCTTGAGATCTCTTCGAATGACATCATAATCCACATTATAATCCACATTACTCGGCTGTGGCGGTGCCGATGAATACGTGTGATGAGGGATGAGGAACAGGACTTACGGTTGGAACTGGTGGCGATGTCGGCAATGGGGTAGGTAATCGGGTTGGCGTCTTTCCGGCAACATAGTTCAACTTGGGATTTCCCAAACCTATCGACATATCCTGCAGTTTGGGATTGCCAGTCAGACCACGAAGTCCGTGTCCATGTTTTTCATCGTTCTGTTGGTTCTGTTCGAACAAGGGCTTGTTCGTGGCAGCTGCTTGGGATGAGGACACGAGAATATACAACACAAGAGAAGTGTAGAATAATAGCTTGTTCCTGGCCATTGTGGAGGGATGCTATTTATAAAGCGACTTCCATGAAAGTTGTGGGCCATCTCACATCCGGGACGGGGCCTTCTGTCCTCAAATGCCAATCCTTGCAAAGATCAGAACCAAAATTTCAAAAGAAACGGGTCCTTCAGATCCACAGCGGGACCCTGCCACCATGTGAGTTTTCCATTGCATCAGTTGCATGTGTTTCTGCAATGCCTTACTAATAGTCGGAGAGGCAAGACAACCGCCTGACAACATCATCATCGCCAAAGATTTTTCTACAAGTTCACTCCGCAAATCTTTGGGCGCACCTCCCACTTCCCACAAGGCCTCCTTAACGCTTTCCACCGTCGGCACGATTGACACAGTCAGATGCCACTGAGGTCTACACAATGTAGAACTTTTAGACTGGGCCTGTAACACTGAGGTGCTATTCCTTATGCCTGTGGAGACCAACAACTCTCAGCTAGCTACGGCAACAGGCCCACAAGCGGCGGTCAAACAAACTTTGAGCGCCGCTTGTGAGAAGAAGGGGGGTAGCAGTTTGCCTTGGAGATGGATAGCTACTACTGTAGCATCCTGCTGCTCCAGAGCCACTCATGAAGAATCAAATCTGAACATCCAGCAGGAAATGCTACCACCGACCGATCAGATGCCACAAGGCCTCGCTTGATGCCTCACGGTAAGTGGCGGTAGGTATCAGTACAATAGATCTATGCACACCTGTGGCTAGCTAGGACCTAGCTAGCTACCGGTAGCTATCATAGCTTGAGGGCAAACCAAGCGCGACTCCCAAGCAGCATGCACAGAGCTTACAATGTAAAACCACGTTTCACTTTTCTTAAATAACAAGTTGAATGAATCCAGCAAAGCAAGAGTCAAGTTATCAACACGCAAAGTGCCCGGATGTTACATGCTTGCTAGCTTTCCTTCAAGCCAGCAGCTTTTTAGCTGGATCTATGTACTAGTAGTGTTTATCGTGCACAATAGGCTCACAAAAACCAACAGCAACAAACACAAACACAAAACCAACAGAAATAGAAACACAAAAAAACAGAAAAATCTACTATGAAGATCCAAATGAGCCTTCCCTTTTTCATCTTGGCAGCAGCAGGTGTTCCCAACTCTGTTTCTGCAATCAAGGGTGCTTCAGCCAAGATTGCGGTTGAAGACAACCATGAAATTCAACCAAGAAGGCTTCGAGCTCTAAAATCCAACAAAGGAAGTGTAGCAAGAGATGGATTGATTGAGATAAAGCCTTGTGTCCCCTGGTCTTCTGTCTCAGAGGCACAAAAGACAAACCCCCAAACACAGCATAGCTGCGCCAGTAACCCTCCATCCACTGGTGGGTGCTGTCGTGACTACCACTGGCTGCTATGGGATACTACCAACAGCTATCCTTATGTTCCATGCATTTGCAATGACATGACACAGGATCCAGCCAGCTTTGTTCCATCCACACTTCCACCATTTTCCAGCAACAACGGAAACAGACACATGCTTGAGGAACCAACTCCCAATAGCAAAGATGATGCTGAGAAGGATAACAATCGCATGCTTCAAAAGAAACCTTCTGGTCGCAATGGGAATGTTGAAAGTGAAGGATTGAAGGAGATCAGGCCCTGCATCCCATGGTCTTCCATTACAGAAGCACAAAAGACAAATGCTGAGAGTGACAGTGTCTGTGCAACCAATGCTGCCAGCACAAAGACAGGAGGATGTTGCCGTGCTTTTGTGTATCTATTGTGGGATGACAACAACAGCTACCCCAATGTGGATTGTATCTGCAATGACATTACACAAGACCCCGCCAACTTTGTGTCCGACACCAATCCCCCAATTGATATCAGCGGTACAGTCTCTGAACTCCGCAACACTGAGAAGGACCATGGAAAGATGCGACGTGGTCTCGGCAGCTCTGCCTCAAACTAGAACCATTTGGAGCACAAGCCATTTGGAGTAGCCATTAGACCTCATAGAGTGTGCCCAGGAAGAAGACTACTGGACGCAACAAATCTACAGTATAGAATAGACATATAACATTTGATTGAACGCCTTACTAGTATACTACCATATCGCCAAGAGCTTCCGAAACAAAGAGACAAGTTCAGCTCGTCTTTCTCATCGCCCTACGGTACGTGATATCAGCTGGCTGGCACGTCGACACCCCGTCCGCGCAGTTGATTGATTGTCGACTTTCCCGTACCGTCCTCTGCATCCTGGCGTCGTTTGGGAGTCGACGTTTTCATTCACGACGATTCTTGCGGCATTCGATCTTGTGAGTCGACTTCCAATGCTCTTTCTGGCAAGTGGCGCCACAGTACAGGGCCATCATGCAGGCAGCGCAGCTCAACAGTTGCGTTTCATCCTCACTTTCGTGCTTTCCACAATTGGCACAAGCTTCAATGGCGAAAATGTATTCGGGGAACGGACCCCAAAAGCGGGAAAAGTTCTCCTTCCAATCTGCACCCTGTTTCATTGCCTTTTGTAGCTGCCACTTGGACGGCTTTCCATTGTCACCGCCAACGAGAAACAGCCAATGAAATGCCGTTGAAATGTAGGATTCGGCCAATGCTCGGAGGTCGGCTTCGTTTCCGTCCGTGTCGGCCAATGTCGTGGATGGTGTTTTGCGCTTCCACAGAGCCTTGACTTGCTGGTAGTCATGCTTGCCATCTGTTTCCAAGAGCTGCAAGGCATCTTGTATCGTCGTTTCTTGCAACAGTTCTTGGATGAGACGTTCCCATTGGGCTTGATCGATCGCGGCAATGGAAATGTAGAATTCCCAGTCACCGTGGAGATCCACCTCCTCTTCTGCGCTTGCTTCTTCTTCGTCGTGCTCTTGCTCCGACTCTGCTTCGTTCACTTCAAGGGAACTGGCATCGTCTTGTAGGCTCGCTTCGTTGTCGTCGCCTTGGAGGACCGTCGTGTCGTCGTCCTCGTCGTTGTAAGGGCGCGCGTCGTCGAACACCAAGTCGTCAACAACGTTTCGGACCACACCGTCGAGATGCTCATGTAGGGCCATTCCAGCGTTTGCCATGATCAACAGTGGGAACTTGCAGTAGACAAACAAGGTGAAGAGCAACGAGGTTTTCCATTCCTCCGGCTGCTCCTGGTCGCGAAGACTCAAATTGGATCGAAACGTTTCGCCACCGTCCTTGAAGCACAAGACGAGAATGACAAACGCCACAACGGTGGGAAGGATCACCAAGCCACAGAGGAACTGCCAAAGCGGCATTGTCAGCACGGAAAGCACAAGTCCCATCATGGTGCAAGTCGAGATGACAGTCGGTTGAGAAACCAAAATACATGTAAATGGAGACTTCGATACGAACTCGAAGGCGAGCAAAATCCGGAAAAGGTTAGGGCTAGCCCGTGTTTTCTCCAACAGCCGGTCTGGAACCGCCAACTTGGCAACCCTTTCCCCGCCACAATGGCCGACAGCACTGCTAGACCGGTACGGTAGGACTGACTAGTAGTGCAATACAGTAGACTAGTCTATATTTCTCTTTCTCCAATCTTACCGGGTACGGCAAGCGATTGTATCCATACGGTAGCCAGCACAACGACACTTGCGTGATGGCGCGAGCGACAAAGAAGCAGGGCACGAAGCGGCTCCTCCATGAGTGTACTGTGGAGGAGCTCGAAGAGGAGTTGAAGAAACGAAAGACACAAGAAGCGGCCGAGCATCGAGGACAGTACGGACCCAGTGCGAAGACTTTGAGCCGAAAGGTGGCGACAAAACGACTTGGCAAAATCTTCAAAAAGGTGGCATTGAAAAAACCCGGATCTGGTGGAAACGAGTTCCCCAAAGAACATGCTCTGTTCTTGCTCAAGACTCATCCCAGCATAGCTGGGGATGCTTTCTCTAAACGGACAGTGCTATCCTTTTTCATTCAAGCTCAAGTCGACCTAGCAACAGTTCATGCAGTATGCAGCATCATGAAAGACTATTTACCATCTTGCAGTGATAGCGACAATTTGCAAGCATGCTTGGAAAGTTCTTATGACTTCTACCGACCTCCAAACCCCATCGCCGACGCTTGCCTGTACGGTCCTTGTGCGGAAGGAGTTCTACCGTATTTGCTCGACTCTTTTCCTGACTACATTACAGGACCAGACGTTGAAGACGATGATGGTGGTACAAGCCCTCTTGACCTTCTCTTCAACAGGCTGATGTCTATTTGGCAGGACGAAGAAGTCAAGACCCTGGCACCTCCAACAATTCACGAGCTTGGCGAGACTCTGGACGCCCTGCTTGCTGCAGATCCTGGCTTGCTAGATGCAGTCAATACATCATTTTTTGTGCAACATGCCATAGTTTGCAAGTCAACGACAGCAGACAAACTGCTACTGCTGTTCGACAGATTCGCGGCAAAGGAAGATCCAGACGACGAGCTCTACGTCAGTCTCGAAAACCAGAATTTGACGATTGGCCATGTCCTGGCACTATCCAAATTGTTTCCGACTATGAGCAAGTTTACCCTTGAAGTTGAAGAGAACATTCCACGTGAAGTCTACCAGGCACTTCTTGGAGCCCTGCACGGCCACACCTTTGAAGAATTGGACATTCCTCTTGTACCGGAGTGTTTGAATCGCGACGGCTGGTATCACATCATGCAAGATATTGTCGAAAAGAGCAAAGATCTCAAGGAATTGAAATTTTCGGTGGAAGAGCCAGAAAATGATCCAGCAAATGATAACCCAGACATCGTCATCCAGCTTTGCAATGACATTGTCAAGAATAGACCTTCTCTCGAGTCGCTATCCTTTGGTCCTCTCACCTTGGAAAATGCAGCTGACTTCAGCCAATTCATTGCTTCTTCATCCTCGGTAATCACAACCCTTTCCTTGGCAGCTATTTCTATTGGGAGTCGTTGGTGTATTCACGAACTTCCAGCAGACTGCGTCCTGGAGGAGTTTTCATTGTACAACTCGAACCTCAGTATGGCTTGGGTAAAGGGTCTCTTGCTGCAACTAATTGGAGACTGTCTCTCTCTCAGAAAGCTCAAGCTCGAAGAGGCTGATTACATTACAGAACAGGATGGCTGGAGCCCGCCAGATGTCATGGAGGTGCTCGGTGCAGCGTTGGAGAAGAATCGGCTGGAAAGCTTCATCGTAAAGTCAGCTTGCGTAGTTGATATGGAAGGAATCTCGACATTGCTTGCCAAGAACAACGCCATGAAACAGCTACTGCTTCGCAGCTCGCCTTCTTGGCAACCAACTGAGAGTCTCTCCAAGACGCTCGCCAAGAATGTCACTCTCGTTGAGCTGGATACAGCATCATGGGTGTCAGATATGTCTGATGATGCAAAGAAGATTGAGTACTATGTCACGCTGAATCGCTTTGGGCGGGGACAACTTCAAGGCGAAAAACTAAAGCTGGAGACACTGGTTCGTCTGTTGGAAGAGGTGGCAGACGATGAATCCATGGAAGTCGACTACCCACAAGTCGGCGTGCTCTTTGGTCTGTTGAATGAACGCCCCGGTCTTTGGGCTGCACCCGGGAAATGGTCTGTGGGATCCAGTCCAACGAAAGGGAAATAAGCGAGTCAAGCACGAAGCGTCGGTCACAGATTCTCCTGGCTATACCCACAGTAGCGGCAATCAAAAGGAAATGAAAAGGAAACAGCAAAATTGGAGCAGAAAAACAAAATACTAGTAGATTATTTCATTTCTTTCATCCCGTATCCTTTCTTTCAATGCTCCGAATGGAACGCAACCGCACCACCATGGAAGTAGGCCTGTAGGTTTGTTATAGCTGTTGTGTGAGCGACGGTTCAAAGTTCTTGTGTATGGAGACCGAAATCTTTTTGCATGCGTGTGTAATAAATCAAATGTTGCATTGCAGCATTGAGTTCGGGCTGGACACTGTACCCCTCGAATAAAGCTATCTTAAGGCGAGAACTTGGAGGACTTCTTGAAGGGATTAAAGTTGAATCCTGCGCTGTCGTCACCGGCTTCATCATCATCCACGTACATGGCATCGTCTTCCTTCTTGTTGAGCATGGCAGGATCATGAGAATGGGTGGGAATGTCACGAAGATGATCGATGGCAGGATTGCTGTACTTGGCACGCAGAGCACTCGCACTGCCAAAGAGCTTGCGGCGCTCTTCCAACATTTTCTGTTGGGCGGCGTACATGTCATCCAACTCCTTCTCGGCAGTACCATGGCCGTGAAGTGGCTCCTTGAACATGTTTTCAATCCAACGGTCGCTCTTGACTTTTCGGGTGCTTGGCAAAATTTCCTTTTTGGCCTTTGGTTTGAACATGCCATCAAACAGACCCATCTGCAAGGAGGATGTCACGGCGGGACGAGTGACTTGAGGTTGGAAGGCCATGGCCATTCCAAGGGAGACAAGGAGCATTCCAATCAACTTCATGGTGATAAAAGATTTAGTTGTTTGTTATTTTCAAAGGATACCTTTGTTTCTTTATTCTCCAGATGGCAAATGTTGTGAGAAAGGTGTTGATTTGATTCTTCGACTCCAACAAAGATATGGTTTGGACTTCGCGAAGAATGCTTCTTTGGCTTGACGCCCACCATTTGGAAGAAGGATCTATTTTTGATGGCTGCTGATGGCTCAATCGTGATGCCTGGATTCTCTATTCGATTCTTCGAAGATCCAAAAGTATCTTTCGGCAAAGACTGATTGACTGGCTCAAACAACCTTTTACACCGCTTGCAATGATCATCAAATAAATCTTTGCTGCCGGTCCAAACCAACCTGTCCGTTAGTTTAGTTCGCATGCAGAGGCTTGGATTTATAGAGGCTGTCTTTATTAGACAATGCAGGCGGTTGGTGCATCTGTTAACATTGGCAGCTTCCAGGGTCACTGCTCTTGATTCCATACTGTAGCCCTCGGAATTGGCTACCGTTATTGTCACAACCTCCTTGCTTGGCATGGTTACTGCAGGTGTCTCTCCGAAAAAGTTGTTAGCGGTACCCACAGCGTCGGACCAGGCTCTCTTTGGACAATGAAGGCAACTGGTGTGTTTGTGGACATTGGCAGCTTCAAGCCCCACTGCATGCTCGAAATTTAAGGAATGCTAGGTTCACTTCCTGGGCATTGGCTTCGACCGTTCTTGTCACAACATCCTTGGACTGCATGGTTGCTGCAGATCAAGTTAGAGATTTCTAACTTTGCACAGTGTACTGTAGCTGTGTCTCCGAGAGAAAAAAGCTACCACTGGCTTTGAGAAACAGGTGCTGTACCGATACGGTAACAGGCACAGTACCTGCTTACGGTATGGGTACCGATACGGTACGGTATGCCGTAACGGTGCGATACCGTACCGGTACCGGTACGCTACCATATACTATACGGTACCGTAAATGCGGTACGGTACTGTAGGGTTCAAGTGTCTTCAGTCCTGATTCGATTCTGGTGTTCCGCGTGTTCAGCATGTTCAGCGTGTTCAGCATCCAACTCAATCCTCATCCGAAGGACAAACAGCACAAGAAGACAGCAATGGACTTGGAAAATAGAAGGAGGCTGCTTGCAGCCATCTCGGTGGACCCCTACATCCTCTACCGATATCCTCAGCTTCAGGATGATGAGAAGTTTATCCGATCTGCCATTCGCAATGAGAATTTATGCCGCGCAGTCATGGAATGGGCCACACCCAGATTTCGCAGCGACCCCGTCGTCATCAAGAGACTGATGAAGCGCTGCTGGCAAATCATTGAATTTGTGAACCCTGATCTCTTGGCGGATCGAGACTTTCTCATGGAAACTTTCGACTATGGTTGTGGCTTGACGCTTCAGTTTGCCTCGCCGGAAATTTTGTCCGATAAACAGTGTGTCCTCCTGGCTTCCTTCCGGTATGGGTCCCAACAGCTCCATTTTGCGTCGCCGGAACTACGAGATGATCCAGAAGTAATGCTGGCAGCCACAAAAGCGTCATTATCAGCCATTGAGTTTGCTAGCGATCGGCTCAAGTGCGATCGGCAGTTTGTGTTGGAGGCGGTGATGTTGAGGCGGGAGCAGTTTGCCGCATGGAGTAACTTGCCTCATGCCTTGGAATTCGTCGATGAATCCTTTCGACATGATTATGAAATTGCCATGGAAGCTGTCAAGCAGAATTGCATGGCGTTGGATTTGCTTCCAGAGAAATTCCGTGCTGATCGACATTTGGTAATGGCTGCGGTCCAGGCTTCGCCGTATCCATGGTGCTTGCAGTGGGCGGCCGAGCCTTTGAATGACGACGAGGAAATAGTCATGGCGGCTGTGGAAAGTTGTGGTGGAAGTCTCGAGTTTGCGTCAGAAAGGCTAAAGGCCAGCCGTGATATCGTCCTGGTAGCAGTAAGACAGGACCCTCGTTCCATCCAATTTGCTGCAGACCAGCTAAAAGCAAACAGAAAAGTGGTGTTGATGTCATTACGGCGCGGGCACGGTGAAACACTTCAATTTGCTTCGTCAGAACTCCAAGGAGACAGAAAGGTTGCATTGTTCGCTGTGGAAGCACAGCATCGCAACTGGGTGCATGTCGCAAAACACCTTACAGAAGACAAGGATTTTGTTTTGTCGGCACTCAAGATGCGAGTGGATATATTTCATTTTCTATCCACGCAGCTTCAAAATGATATAGTGGTTGTCTACAGAGCTTTCCGGACTAAGTTCGTTTTCTTTTATTCACATTTTTGGACCAAAAAGAGGTATTGCAACGACCTCAAGGCCCGGTTGGGAGCATTGGGGAGGGCAGTGTTGGCCACAAATCATTACAATTTGCCCCAGGACTCGCCCGCAGTCTATGCCGAAGGCTGGTTGTCGCTGGTCCGTGAGAAGCGGTGGCTGCTTGGGCAGTGCGGAGGGGGTAAATGCCTACCAGATGAAGTCCAGAAACGAATATTGGAGTTTGAGGGTGGGAATGAGGCAATCTGGGCCCAAGAGCTTTTGGCATTTGATTTCCTTGTTTCTTTAATGCTAGAACGAGGCGAGAAGATGCCAACATTTGCTGGATGGGCTGAGTTTTGGGTCGAATGCCTGAAATGGGACGGCATGTGACCGCTTAGATGCTCTTTCCACCACATCACCTAAAGAATACACACCAACGGCCATGGCGACCACCAAATGTTGTCCTTTGTTACGACTACTATGCCTTAGAGAGGGAAGAATGGAGAGGATTGGTTGCAGAGGGCAGAGGGGGCAGGATGAACAGCTTCTTCCTATGGATGCTTCTTCGTTGGCTTCCATTCTGCCAGAAACACCATGGTGTCATGTGTCTAATAAGAAAGGCTTCCAAACTACAGCAGCTAGCTACAGTAGCTAGATCTGCTGCCTTGACGACAAGAAACGAATCGAATCTCAATCGAATCGAATCGAATCGAATCAACAACCAAGAGTGACAGTCGTACTGTACGGGCAAGCAACAAACTGCTAGTATACGACAACAATCAGTTCGGTTAAATCAAGAACTGGCCCGAGCCAAAGAACGGGAACATCAAGAATTGGCTCGAGCCAGAGAACGGGAACTGGAGCGAGGCGATAAAGAGCGCATTGATGATGCTTGTCTTTGTTGCTATTTTTGCTCCGATTGGTGTATTTATTGTCCTGCCGGAGGTTGTGACCCTCACGGTCAGCACAGTTGTTGCCAATTATGCTGTCTGGGGTGTGAGAGTGGATGTTCCGCATTGGACAATGATTGCGATGGTTGTGATGCTGTCTGTGATGTCTGCTGCAGTGATGGGTGCGAATTTTTCTGTGGTGAATCCTGCTGTGATTGTTTCTGTGGGCTGCTGGGTGCTGTGTCAGTTTAGATACCGTTGGGCTTGAATGTTCCACATTGGACAATGAGTGCGACGCTCTCTGCGGTGGCTGTGATTCCTGCTGCACGAGTGCGTGCAACTTTTTCTGTGATGAATCCTGCTGTGAATGTGTCTTGGGATACTGGGAGCTGTGCCAGTTTAGATAGGGTATGTAGTGGACCGTACCACTACAATATCGGGAGAGCAAAAAGGAACAGAAGGTCAAGGCACCCAAAGACGTAACTTATCGCTTGTACAAGCAGGTTTGCAGGACCAAACAAGGACCAATGTCCTGGGTCTGTTCTACAAATGTAGAGGTGACCTTGACCGGAGGGAACTGTGGTACCCGGCGTTGATAAACATGATTGTTTTTTATAAACTCTTGTCGCAGCTCGTGCTCTTCCCCAAAAACTGCTGGTGTCCAAGTTCAGTCTTCTTTGGATCTATCTCTTGTTGTCCCTCGTCGCAACTGCCTTGAGAGGAACCAAATCAAAGCAAATCCAAGCAACCACAAAATTCCTTCAAATGCAACAGCCACAGTCCAAAACACGAGTTCTGCACGTGCAATCTCATCCTTGTCATTGACCCACGGGTAAGGTGTCCCAACGAGCGTTTGACAATTTTCCCAGACAATGGGGTCAACCGGAGACAAAAAATCGCACAGTGGTTTCCAACCATCGCGAGCACGAAAGATAAGCCATGGCCATGGCATTCTTTTCTGGAAGTTTTGTGTTGGGGTCCCAAGGTACCTTTGGTAAATACCATTCTCCAAGTTGATGAAATTTGCGCAATAGCCATCTCCAGGGCATTCGTTTCCCCGTGACATGACTGGCATGCAGAACCGTTTCCATGCTTTAGCCCACGAGAGTGCCTCCTCTTGTTCATTTCCCCCTCCACGGACCGTCAAGACAACCAAAGCATTTGGGTATTCCTCCATCAATTCTCGATACAGGAGACATGTGGGATAGTCTGCCGTGTGGATATCCCCTGAATAATTTCTTCCACATTTCCGCGTCCATTCTGGTGAACGATCGCAATGGCGCCCCGGTGTGTCCACGACTCCGTCTTGAAAGTGATAGGATTTTAACCCAAGCCTCTGTAGAGCCACCACAAAGGAAGAAGTCCCCGTTCGACCCAAGCCCGCCCCAATCACTTTCATCGGTTGTGGAAGAGGCACCTCTTCTTTCTCACGCGGCCCCGTGACAAACTTGGTAAAGATGACCTCGACCAAGTCTCTCCAACTCAAATGCTCTCGATTCTCCTTGCTGGACGACGATTCCATGCTGGCTTGAACACAAACGGCCATGGCGACCTCCACGAGACAAATGGGTGGATGCAATGGTTGCCGCTCTGATCGAGATGAACGTGCACCTCTTCCTTGGTCTTTCTGAGAAAGCCGCTGTAATAAACATGTGCATCGCAGAGCAATACTCCTCCCTTGAAGTCAAGATATTGATTGCAAAGCAGGATTTATGGAAAAGATGTATTTAAGCCAGCCTTTCCGTACGATGGTACCGGTACTCCAAAATCGTCGGTACCACATGAACATACATGTAGTACCGCACATGTGAAGTGTCAGGTTCGACAAAATCTTCGAGGCAACAAGAGCTGGATGGCTTGTCCAAAAAGCCCTAGACAACTTTTCAAATTTTGAAAAATGATCAGAGGTCTGCCATTTACAAATGCTGTACTCAGTTGCAGACGAGCCACAACCTAGCTAGCTACGTACAACAGTCACAATTTAGCCTCAGCCAAAGCACGCAAGTTACCACACCCAATAGATCCCCTCAGCCCCACCATGACCATTAAAGAAGCAACGGCAACGGCACCATCTTCCACCAACGCACCAGGAGAAGATGTTGAGATTCCCCTGACAACTGTGGTTGAGATTCTTACAGAACCCAATGCCCAGCAAATGAACCACCGTGGTGATGCCATCCCCACCATCACTCTACCGACAACAACAGCAACGGCAACACAAAATGCACCGATTCTCCAGTCCATGGAACGAGAGGACGAAGACGAAATTGTGGTTGTAGCGACTGTAACCAAGCCGACACCTAGCTTCCCTGTGGGCATCAATTTGAGGACCGATCGCAATGGCGAAGTTTTTGTCAGTCGTCTCAATGGCAATGGGCTCATTGCTCAATCCACCAACTTGGAACAAAGCATGCGCATCCTGTCAGTCAATGGAGTCAGTACGGAAAACAAAACACCCCATCAGCTACGAGAAGTGATTGCCAAAGCCCCGGACCAAGTGACCATTGTCGCTGCCAGGACCACTGGAAAGCAACAAACCGATAGCATCAGACAAAAATCGGTATGGTTGAATGAAGAATTGGCTCGCGCCAAAGAACGGGAACTGGGCAATAAGGAGCGCTTTGACGATAATCTTTGTGGCAATTGTTGCATTGATTGTTGCATTTATTGTCCGGCTGGAGGTTGTGACCCTCATGGTCAGCACAGTTGTTGCCAATTATGCTGTCTGGGATGTGAGAGTGGATGTTCCGCATTGGACAATGATTGCGATTGTGATCTTCTCTGTACATGCTGTAATTGCATCTTGGGATGTTTTGGTTGTGTCTTCCAGGTATTGGGAGCTGTGTCAGTTTAGTTACCAGTACATGCAGGGTATAGCTGTACTTCTGTAAATGTCGCTGGCTGCATCCGTAAGGCAACAAACGTTGCATCTACCCCGGTACGATGACGAGTACCGGTAGTGACGCCCTTGAACTCTACCCCTGGCTACTGTACCGCAGTCGTTGTCTTTTGATCCAGTCTCCGCCCTCCTTCCTTTCAGTTGGTTTGCTCTGCAGGCTGTCCTGCACGTAGTCGAGTCTACTCATGCATTCTTCCCACTAACAGTAAACTCTTCGTTACTAACCTTCCCTCACATACCGTACCAGTACTGTACCAGTAACAATGTCTTCACACCAAAAGATACAGTTTCAGTTTCACACATTGATTAATAGTTTTTTTTTTATCTAAGTGTACTATTGCGCCGAAGGCTGTTGCTTTTGTTTCACTCCTTCGACACCTGGCACTATTGGCACAGGTGAAGGAGTAGAAGTGGTCTTTCTGAGGACAGGAAAATA